CATAATTGACTAAATAAGTGGTATGGAGATTATAAAAAAGTATTAAAAGCTTCAGAATATATTCAAGGGGGGGGGGAGGTGGGGAAGGGGTGATTTCATGGTGCTTATATTTATCGGGATTCGAATCCAAGATGTTCGATTACCATTTGAATACTCTATTAACTGAGCTACTGTATGAGGAGAAGTGGTATACACCCTTGGACTTTGCCAGTAGGACACAAGATACTGTGAAAGCTACATTTACACTAGACACGGTAATGACACGATGACAAAATGATTATTGCATTATTTATATTCTTCAACACTTCAGCATTTTTATCGTGTTGTTGTGTCATTATTGTGTCTGGTGTAAATGTAGCTTAATACATAATGAATCAAAATCAAATGCTTAATTAAATTAAAAGGTTAAAGGTTATTACTTACTGGGTAGATATTGCCCCTCACAAGATGCCTCTTCTCAGGTTTTAGAAGAAGGTAGTCACCACGGAATGGGACTATCCTGGGGTTAGGTTCGCATCCTGAAAGTTGAGCCAATCGATCGGAAAATAATCCGCCACAAGTTATCACGTATCGACACCTAACCGTTTTCTGAAGGTGTTGAGGGATATAAATCAATTAAAAAATTTCAACTGCTTTGAAAAATTTCATCAGTTTTTAGTTTTCTTTTTTTAGTATAAAATTATGATTTAATGCTCTTTCTGCTTTGAATCCTCAACTTAAAAATACATATATTAATAATTTTAAAATAAATATTAAATGAAATGGAGCACAATTGCAGTATATACTGTATATAATTAATGTTCTTCTAATTTGAATACTCAACTTATACTTATATATATATATATTAATAATTTAAAAATTAATATTACTAATTATACTTACACCATGTTTTCCTTCAACCAAAATGGGGCAGTTCAAACCTAAGTTGTATAGAATGAAAGAGTTGCATAGTTATGTAACAGTACATTTAAACAACGATATACAGGTTTCTTAGAAAAACACATCAGGCTTCAATTGCAGCCAAGTCCACATATAAGACAACCCCAAATTTGAATAAATTTTTGGTCGACTTTTGTATGTCAGGCATATGTATGTCGCATTCCCCTATTTTTTGCTCATAATTACAATACGCAAGTAATGTATGAGGCTACATTTATCAGACTGGGGTTTTGGATAAATATTTTGTGGTTTGTTACTCACTAAATAAAACCATAATCGTAATCTAAAGAGCTGTGTTCGCTTGAACTTTTATGGTCAGAAACAGCCTACGTAATATTCTTCTAAAGCCTGGTTCTCACGAGAGCCCTAGTATTCGGATCGGGAGCTAACCGTTAGCACTAACTGTTAGCATCTGCGCGAGAACGCCCGATCGGTTAGCGCTAACTGTTAGCGGTATCCGGACACATTAACGGTTAGCAAGCGCTATCGGTTAGCAAGTTGAGGGCGTTTCTATCATCAACCAATCACACGAACGTGTTTACAATTTCCAGTTTCTTACTGGCCAGTGATTCGATCATCATATTGTTGGTATCCGGATCGGGATTTTCTCGCATGGACGCAAGGCAGCTAACAGTAGGCAGATTCCAGATCCTGTTAACCGTTAGCTGTCGTGTGAGAACATAGCCTTAGTAAAATTACCAAAGCAATGCAGTAAGTTTTACCAAGTGAATATTGCCCAGGAAGAAAAATCGGGCTGTTAATCACAAGTAGAAAAGTCCTGTGTGAACATTTAATTAATATTACTTGTCGTGGAGGAGATACATTCTAAAAGAAGTACCTTTATTTGTTGAAGATTCAGATTCGTTCACTTGTCTGAAGGCATTCACATCAAATTCTGTATGAATTTCACCACCTAATGTCTTGAAATGTTTACCAAACATCCGCGCCATCTCTCCATAGTCAACGATACCAGTGTTTGGAGACACAAGAGCTTTAATGCCCTACAAAGTGAACAGAATAATGGAGTTTTTAATTGGTCCTACGTTTCAATAATAATAATAATAATAATATGTCGTTCTTATATAGCGCTTCATGCACAAAGCTTCATTTCATTGGATCAAACTTTTTTTGACAGAAACCAATGGCTGATAGTGCCTTGTCTGATAATTGACTATGTTTAGAGTACTTTTGACCATTTTGAACTTATAGATGTACAGTAGCATTGATTTCTGCAGTACACACATGCTCCTATCTAGGAGCCTACTTTTCACTGCTGAGGGTGCCCTTACAGATAAACATTCTATTCAAAATCTTGGTTATTGGTAGGCAATGACCAGGACAATAACATTATTGTATATTTATAGAACCCCTGACCGGGTATAACAGAATAATCCATTTTCAGGAATGGAAACTTTAACAAATGTAGTGATCATAAATGCACG